ATTGCTTAAGCCCAGGTGTTTAGGACCAGCCTGGGCAACGTAGCAAGACCTCATCTCTACAAAAAAAAAAAATCAGAAAATTAGCCAGATGTGGTGGCACACACCTGTAGTCCCAGCTACTCGGGAGGTTAAGACAGAAGGATTATCTGAGCCCAGGAGGTCGAGGCTGTGGTGAGCTGCAATTGTGCCATTGCATTCCAGTCCGGGCAACCCTAACTCAAAAAAAACAAACAAACAAACTAGAAATTTAAAAAATGGAAGCACTATTCACAAGAGCAATCGCATAGAACCAACTGTGCTGCCCATCAAATGTGGACTGGGTACAAAAAATTGTGGTACATATACAATGGGATATTATGCAGCCATAAAGAAGGATAAAATTATTTGCCAAAATTTGGACGGATTGAGAGTCGATCATACTCGGTGATCTATCACAGAAATGAAGATCTGAGTACCACGTGTTCTCACTCATAAGTGGACCTTGAACAATCATCGTAATACTATAAGAAAAGGATTGCCAGTAGCAGGACACTGCCAGGGGAGGGGGGCAAATAACATCACGAAGGGCACCTGATCCTGAACCACGGGAAGTGAGGACCAGTGGGAGACCCCAACGTCACCTGTACGTAGATCACTTATATACCTAATCCTGACTGGTACCCCGTATTTTTAAAATAAAGAGGGACAAAAATAAATGAGGAAAATAGCTACCGACGCAACAGAAGTACCAATGAGTGTATTCATAACCATCAAGCATTATTCAGTATGGAAGAACAAACTGCAGAAATGTGCTACAACTATGTGCAGTGCAGAAAATGTGAATATAGTCTCAGTAACACAACCCTCTCACTTCATTTGATAAAAGACTTTCGTGTTCAAAAGAAGACAGTGACTTCCGTCTTTTCAGCAACCATCAGAAAGGTAGAAGTCCATCAATAAGTGAATGGATAGACAAAATTATAGCACGTTCATACACTGAAATACTGCTCAGGAGTAAAAAGAAATGATCTCATGATAGACGCAACAATCTTAAAATAATTATGCTGAGTAAAGAGAACCAGACTAAAAAAGGTAAATATTGTACAGTTCCATGTGTTTAAAATTCACGAAAAGGCAAATGAATGAATATAGAGAAAAGGCAGATTAGTGATTGCCCAGGGCGGGGGGAGGGGAGGAGCAAGAGAGAAGAATTCTCAAAGGGCTTCAGGAAACTTCTGAGAGTGATGTGCTCACCATCTTGATTGTGATGATGCTTTCGTAGCACAGGTAATACATGTCAAAACTTATCTAATGATTCAATTTAAACTTGTGCAGGTTATCGTATGTCTGGTAGACCTCAATAAAGCTGTTTTTTAAACTTTATAAGAACAGACTTTGATAGTGTACCTTTGGCTTCTGAAGACTGGATTTGATCATAAACAATCTTATGATGTTTTCTAACAGTTTGCTCACTGAATCATTAAGATTCTTACAGATATTGGCAAAGAAATATCTGTGTATAAACAAATAAGATATGTTAACTCATAAGACAGGCTAGCACAGCTTATTTTATACTATGTGAGTAGTAGAAGAAGCTTGCTTAACTTGTAAAGTTATCTTCCAGAAACTTCTAACTCATGTCATACATACTGGCAAAACATTACCAATTTTCGCATAAAAGGAAGTCATAAAGAAGCCTAATAGTATTGCCACTTTTCAATATTTGCTTAACGTCCTGCCCAATGAAATAAGACCAGGGTAAGGACAGACACATGGGAAAGGTACAGGGAGCAGAGAGACTGTGTGATTATTTATAGACAGTGTGATTAACTAGAAAATCCAAGAGAATCCACAGAAAAATTATTAGAACTGTGAGGGAATTCAATATAGTACTCAGCCTTCCTATATGCCAGAATACAAATTTAGAAGACATAATTGGGGGTGAGGGGATATATCATTTACGACAGCAGCAAGAATTGGTCTGCAAAGCATTCAAGGGTAAACCTATCAAAAATGTGCAAGACCTGTTTGAAGAAAATTCCTAAACCATGTATGAGAGGATTGAAATGAACAGATATTTCATGTACTGATTGGGAAGACTTGGTGTGGCAAAAATGTTGAGATAGGAATCCTCTGGAACCCTTGGGCTGCACCATGTCACAGTCCTTCCTACTTCTGGGAAGTAATGGGATTTTTTTTTTTTTTAACGAGGCAAGTTGTATCAATATCGCCTAGAAAATAAGTTACTTGAAACATCTTTTGTTCAACGTATCTTGTTTTGGAGGTTGTGCTGGCTTGTTCTTAGGCTTCAGTGTCCTGAATGAAGAAAAACCATGATCGGTCTGTGTCTCCATTGAGATGCCACAGGTGAGGTGAGCAGGTGACTTCTGGAGTCCCTTGAGCCCAGAGTTTCTGCCTCAAAGGCATTAAAGGGGCCGTTGTGGCTGTCTCCCAGTGGTGCCCTTACAAACGCGGCTGTGGGCTGGGCCAGCGTCCCTGCCTTTGCCGTTTGACCAGGTCAACCTGACTGGCTCAGGAACCCAGGCCTGTTCAACTCAGGCTGGGGCACTGTCGGCAGATCTGGGTGTGGAAGCATGGTTTCCCCAGTGGATAAAAAAGCAGTAAAACCTTCTGCTGGGTCTCTCTTGTGGTCCTGAAACTTTTACCTGCCAGGCTAATTAAAGGAAACCCTGATGTCATTTCTCATAAATATATCTGTACATCAATGCAGTCCTGATCAAAATTCCAGCATGATTATTTTTGGACTTTGATAAGCTGACTCCAGAATTCAATTGCGGGGAGAAAAAAGTAAGAACCGTCCCTCACCTCCAACACAAACAAAAAACTTTTAAGTTAACGAAAAGAACCTGAAGCCGGGCTCGGTGGCTCAGCCTGAAGTCCCGCATCTTGGGAGGCTGAGGTGAGTGGATGGCCTGAGCCCGTGGGTTCGAGACCCGCCTGGGCAACTTGGCGAGACCTCATCTCTACAATAAATCAAAAAATCAGCCGGGCGTGGTAGCACGTGCCTGTAGTTCCAGCTACTCGGAAGGCTGAGGCGGAAGGATCACCGGAGCCCAGCAGGTCGAGGCTGCGGTGGCCGGGAGTGGCCGCTGCCCTCCAGTCTGGGCGACAGAGTGAGACTCCAACTCAAAAAAAAAAAAAAGAAGGAAGAAAGAAAGAAAAGAACTTGACCTATCCAGTATTTTTAAAAAGTTATAAAATTAGTATCATTAGAACAACGTCCAATAGCATAGAGGATTAGGTAACAGTCCAATAAGAACAGGCAGATCTAATGTTGGCATCGAATAATACATTCAAAGTTAAATTTCAGTTGTAGTTAAGGTTCTTTCATGTATCTTTGATATTAGCTTGCAGTTTGCTCCACTGAGAATTCAGTAATAGGATCAGACGTAAAAATGGGCCTAGCAATTCCTAGATTCTGATGATGCTTTTATGTCTCTCTCCTTCACACATCCTTGTAATCCTCAACAAGACTGAGAATGCAGAGATCGTCACCCTCTTGTTAATCTCTTGTGTCCTATGGCTTGGCCTCCATGGAGTCAGGCAAGAGTGACCGTTCCCTGGGATGCCCGGGCAGGTCTGGGCAAGCCACAGTCTGACTCTCCTGTCTCACTTCCTGGAAATAATTGAGCAATTATTAGGTACCAGGGTGTTGGCTAACTCCTGCATGGTGACACTGCTGGGAAATATTTGAGTTTGTCAGTCTGGCCTCCAGGGCTGTTCTTTTCTGACTTTTCCTCAAGTGCTGTGGGCTGACCTTTTCAGTGTATCTTCCTTCCATATCTGTGCACTGACCTCACGGGCAGCCGTGATTAGGCAGTCACCATGACTGCTCCCCTCTGGTTCAGGCCAGAGGGATGCCTGGAGCTGGGAATGCCCCTGTTGCAACACTTGCTGTTAGGGTACGAATAGGGTGAGGGTGGAGAGGCAAGAAAAGGCGCAGCACCACCGGAGCCGGCAAGCCGGAGGTGCTTGCTGGCAACCCAGAGATCCAAGTAAATGCCAAGAACTGCAACACACAGAGGTGAGAGAAGATTTATTGAAGAAAAGGTCACCCCCCCACCACAGACAGGGAGTGGGCCTCTACTCTAGGTGACTGTGGCCTCGTAGCCCCCCAGAGTCCTGGCTTCAATCCTTCTCTTGGAGATGTTGCACGTGAGTGACTGTCGTGACTGCCGTGACGGCCGTGACTTCCTTATCGACCACCTGTGGATGTCTTGGAGAGCCTGTGACACAGAGACCCATTAATGTCCGCCCACATCATCACAGCGCGTGACAAGGATTCTAATGCTCCTGCACCTTCCCAAACGACATTCCTTAGCGCTGATGGAGGGTGCATCTCCCCTTATCTCCTAGGCACTCCCAGTGGGTAGCTTCGGGGGATCCTGGCTTCCCTGTAGATAGGGTCCAATTTACTGGAAGAGCGAATCCCCGCCTGCTCTCCATCTGACGGTTATAATTTCTGTAATCACAAGTTTCATGACTTTTGCCATCCTTGCCCAATGCATGATGTCCTAGACCTTGTAAATCCCTTTACTCTAGGCAAGCTTGATTGCCGCTGTGAGATACCTCGGATACCTGGCACCAGGAAGTCTGTCTCTGAAAAGATAGAGTTGGCAAAGTTCATTCCACCCCACGTGTGCATTTCTTCAAAAGCATAGCTTCCACTTTCTCACCATTGTATTAAGGGTTAGGAACAAGGCGACAAATGGCTTCCCACTCTCGGCCTGTCCCTTCGCGGACTACGGTGTCTTCGTGGATGTGTGCGTCTGTCTGTCTCCTTTACTGAACTTTTATTGCCCTTTGATTCCTAGAATCTGTCACAGTGCTTGGCAGATGCTAGGCATGAAATAAGTGCTTGATACAGCAATGGCTTCTAAGGAGCAGATTTGGCGGGAATTAGCAGAAGATGACCTGAAGACAGTCTCGACAGCAAACCCCGGGGCTTCTGTCTTCCTCACTGGGCAACCCCGGCCCCTTTGTTCCCTCCCCCGCTGCAGCCTATGGGGTCCGAGCGGATGGAGATGCGGAAGCGGCCGACGGCCGCCCCCCCGGAGGCACCAGGTTCTGCCCCAGGCCAGCCCGGAGTGGGGAGTCGAGGGTCCAACGCCTGCTGCTTCTGCTGGTGCTGCTGCTGCAGCTGCTCTTGGTAAGGCTGGGGCTTTTTGTTTTTTATTTTTTTTTGAGGTGGAGTCTCACTGTGTCGCCCAGCCTGGAGCGCAGTGGCCGCTCCCGGCCACCACCGCAGCCTCGGCCCGCTGGGCTCCGGCGAGCGGGCGCGCGCCACCACGCCCGGCTGGCTTTTTGATTGAGTGTAGAGAGGAGGGCTCGCCGGGCTGCCCGGGCGGGTCTCGAACCCGCGGGCTCAGGCCGTCCACTCGCCTCGGCCTCCCAGGCGCGGGATGACAGGCTGAGCCACCGAGCCCGGCTGGGTTGGGGCTTTTTAATCCGTGCGCTCGATCGGGAAACGGCACCCCGGCATGGCGCCAGCTGGTGATCGACTCGGTGCTGGTGAAGCATCTACTCGGTGCCTGGCACGCTGAGGACATCCCCAAAACAACAACAGGCGACACCCGTCCCGCTTTCCAGGGACTTGCGCTCACATCCCTCAAACCAGGCCAACCTATGTCAAACACAGAAAGAACCGTCTAAGGTAAGTTGGTGACTGAATATCAGCAGCTGGGCAGAAAACTGCCCAGGTGTGTAGAAAGGAGTGAGCTCCAGGCCACTCCTTTGGTGATAAAGGCTTTGCGGAAGAGGTAGGGTTTAAGATGGCCTTTAGTGGTTAGGGTTACGAAGTGAAGAGAGCCTGGCTTCTATCTCCTGCTTCCGTTTTATTTTATTCTTATTTTTATTCTTATTATTTTTTTGAGTCAGGTCCTCACTCTGTCACCCAGGCTGGCGTGCAGTGGCTCACTCAAGACTCATGCAGTGTCGATGTTTTGCGCCGGACTCAGGTGATTTTTCCACCTCAGTCTCCTAAGTGGCCGGGACTAAGCATGCCACCAAGCCTGGCTAATTATTATTATTGTTGTTGTTGTCGTTATTACTGAGATGAAGTCTCGCTATGTTACCTAAGCTGGTCTCGAACTCCTGAGCTCAGGCAGTCCTCCTGCCTCTGCCTCCGAAACTGCTGGGACTGCAGGCGTGAGCCACAGCACCCGGTCCTATTTTATAAATTGTGTTTCTTAATAAAGAAAATTGTCCACATTTGTGCTTTAAATAGAATTATAAAAAGATAGGCTAACTTACTGGGTGGAGAAAGATATGCAATCATTGCTTTAAAAAAGAGATAGACAACGGTGAAAGTGTCCCGAGAAAGGATATGATGTACACCAAGCCTAAGAACACCAGGCGCACACGTGTAGTCCCAGCTACTTGGACGGCTGAGGCGGAAGGGATCATCTGAGTCCCGGAGTTTGAGGCTGCAGTAAGCTGTGATCGTGGCACGGCACTCCAGCAACAGAGTGAGACCTCAACTCAGAAAAAGAAAAAGAAAAAGATAGATTAGTGGTTTCCTAGGAATAAGAAAGTTGGGAGTAACCACTATTGTATACAGAGTTTCTTTTGGGGGTGAATGTTCTAGAATCATGGCCATGATTGCACGACTCCACAATATACTAAAAATATACTAAAAACCATAGAATTATACTGCTTGAATTGGAAAATTGTGTGGTATGCAAATTACAGAGCTGTGATTTTTTTGGTCGGGTGCAGTGGCTCAGGCCTCTGATCCTAAGCACTTTGGGAGGTCGAGGCAGGAGGATTGCTTGAGCCCAGGAGTTCGAGACCAGCCTGGGCAACAAAGCCAGACCTCACCTCTACAAAGAGATCAAAAAATCAGTGGGGCATGGAGGTGTACGCCTGTAGTCTCAGCAACTTGAGGGGCTGAGGTAGGAGTGTCGCCTGAACACGGGAGGTTGAGGCTGTGGCGAGCCGTGATCAGACCACTGCACTCCAGTGACAGAGTGAGACTCTGACTCAAAAAAATAAAAATAAATAAAAGAGCTGTTTTTAAATTCATATCCAGAATGTAGAAAGAGCATCAAGAGATGGATGAGAAAATTATGACCAGAAGAAAAGTAAGCAAATGAAATGGAACAGAAATGATAATCCTCTTGTGCTCCTACAAACAAGGATCAGACACATGAGAGTTAAATATGCATCCAGCTAAATACATATCTAGAAAAAGCTGTAGCCGAGAAAATTCGCTCACACACTTGCAAAAGGAGACATATGTGAGAGGATTCCCTACAGCATTATCCTGAGTGAGAAAATCTGAAAATGGTTCTAAAGTTCATGGACCGGAGAATGGATGGACACATTGTGGTACCGTTATTCAGTACAATGCCATACAGTATTCAAGTTCATACGCCAGAATAACAATAAATAAATAAATTCATATGCTAGAGAAAAAGCAAATGATAAAGCAGTACATGTTATATAATATTTATACAAAGTGTAAAAATATGTTTAGGCATGTATATATGAGGGAGGACCCAAAACGCAAAATTTATTTATGAAAAATGTTGTATCCTTTCCCGTTTAAGCCTGTCACTTTCAAAGTACTCTCCGTTCGATGCAACACACCTATCGAAACGCTTTTTCCCTTGCTCAAAACAGTTTTTGAACTCCTCGGTTTTGATGCCTTTTAGTGCTCCTGTTTTTGTTTCACCTCTTCCACACCAGCAAAACGTTTCCCTTTGAGGATGTTTTTCATCCGGGGAGACAAAAAAAAGGCACTGGGGCGAGACTGGGTGAATAGGGAGGGTGGGGAATGGAGATATCATGCTATTTCTGGTCATAAACTGCTGAACACTCAGTGTGATGTGGGCAGGTGCATTGTCATGATGGAAGAGCCGGTTGCCTGTTTGCCTCAACTCAGGATGTTTCTTCCACAAATTGTGACACAGCCTTCTCAGAACTTCCAGAAAAAAACTTTGGCCCGGGTATGGTGGCTCACACCAGTAATCGTGAGAAGATTGCCTGAGCCCAGGAGTTCAAGACCAGCCTAGACAACTTGGTGAGACCTCATCACGACAATAAACCAAAAAGTTAACTGGGCATGGTGGCGTGTCCCTACAGTTCCAGCTACTTGGAAGGCTGAGGTGGAAGGGTCACCTGAGCCCGGCAGGTCGAGGCTGTGGTGGCCATGAACATGCCATGGCACTCCAGCTTGGGTGACAGAGGGAGACTCCGACTCAAAAACAACAACAACAAAAAAAAAACACTACCACCACCACCAACAGCAAACTTCAAACTTCAACTATTTTAATATTTAAATTCCTTGGTTTTTTTCCTCAACAAGCTTTTGAGATTTGCCCGTGCTAATATACACGTTAGAGTCAATTTTCAAGAAAGATAAATGGCAATATATTTTCTAAGCCCTTGTGTTATCTTTCTCCCAATACTGCTGTATGAGGCCAAGCTCGATGGCTCATGCCTGTAATTCCAGCACTTTGGGAGGCCAAGGAAGGTGACTTGCTCGAGCCCAGGAATTTGAGACCAGCCTGGGCAACATAGTGAGACCTCATTTCTACAGAAAGAAATACATATCTATATTAGCCAGGCACAGTGGCATACACCTGTGTTCCCAGCTACTTGGGAGACTGAAGCAGAAGGATCATCTGAGTCCAGAAGGTTGAGGCTGCAGTGAACCATTATCACACCACTGCACTCCAGCCTGAGCAACAGAGTGTGATCCTGACTCAATAATAATAATAATAATAATTCTGAGCCGGGCTCGGTGGCTCAGCCTGTCATCCCGCGCCTTTGGGAGGCTGAGGTGAGTGGATTGTCTGAGCCCACGGGTTCGAGACCCGCCTGGGCAGGCGAGACCTCATCTCTACAATACATCAAAAAATGAGCCGGGCGTGGTAGCACACGCCTGTAGTTCCAGCTACTTGGAAGGCTGAGGCGGAAGGATCGCCGGAGCCCAGCAGGTCGAGGCTGGGCCACTGCATTCCAGTCTGAGTGACAGAGTGAGACTCCAACTCAAAAAAATAATAATAATAATTCAGCTGTATATCCTTCTGATATTTAGTGTTATAAGGGAGGGCATGCATATTCTTATTCTCTGGAAAATCAATGTGTTTTCCTTTCTAGAATTTTTTTCTCTTTATCACTCAAAATTTTAACAAAATAAAACAATAATCATGTGTTTTCTTTGACTGAATATTTCTAAAATATGGTGAGCAACGGCCTTGGCTTCTATCACCATTTTCTTGTTCTGTTGTAACCACAATAGACCCAGATAAAGAAAACTTGACAAAAAATATATTCTGCATTTCTTTTCAAAGACCCATTGTATCTTTAAAAAAATATTCCTACTTAAAATGAGGCAGAAAATGTGTCAAAGCTTAAATAAGTTTTGCATTATTTAGTTCACAATACAGCTTCCAGTTCTCTGAGGATCTTGTGTCAAATTCATCATTTTTTTTTCCTCTTCACTTTTTCATTCCCACTGTGCAGTAATGTGTTCTGCTTACAAAAGAAGCCTTGAAAGTCAAGCAGTGGTAATGTTCATGCAGAGAGAATACCACCCAGATGCCTTTTTTAAGAAACCATTATTTACTGAAACTTTTTAGCCCCGGCATCATGAAAGAAACAAGTCAAAAGTGTTCCTGCATTGCTAATGATTTTGCCTTTAAAGAAAAAGAGCTACACCATACACACACACACACACACACACACACACACACACACACACACACAGAGAGAGAGAGAGAGAGAGAGAGAGAGAGAGAATTTATAAAGCAGATATACTGAAAGCAGGCTGAAAGATTTTTATAAAGTGGAGTAAAGAGTGTTAAGGAAAGATATATTAAATAATAGAAAAGTTAATGCAGTAACAACCACAAGATAAAACTCAATCATCCATGATAAAAATTTATTTTTAAATGGATGGGATACTAAAAACATTCCTGCTAAAATCAAGAATATGGCAAAGATGTCCACAATCTCTATTTAACATTATTTACTATTATAATGCTGCTTAACGTTGTATTTTAGGTATTAGCAAATTAGACAAGATAAAACAATTAGAGACCTAAGAATTGGAAACGAAGAAGTAAAGCTCTTCCTATTTGCAGATGAGAAGGTACCTGGAACCCCCAAGAGAATTGGTGCTAGAACCGATGCAAATATTAAAAAATTCAGTTATAGAAGGATATAAAATTAACACGAAAAGAAGAGTCTTTAGGACTTGTATCTAAAATTTATAAAGAACTCTTACATTTCCATAATAAAAAATAAACAAATTTAGAAATAATCAAAGGGTCTGAGTAGACATGTCTCCAAAGATGTACAAATATTCATAAATACTTGAAAAGATGCTCAGCATTAGTAGTCATTAGCAAAATGCAAATCAAAACCACAATAAGATATCACTTCCCACCCACTTAGGAGGCTAGAGTCAAAAAGACAGCAGTTACATCTGCTGGCAAGGATGTGCAGATATTGAATCCCTCAGATATTGCTAATGGGGATGTAAGATGGTGCCGCTGCTTTGGAAAACAGTCTGAGCGTTCCTCACATTGTTAAAAATCAAGTTTCCATATGACTCAGCCATTTCCTAGGGATCTACCCAAGAGAAATGAAAATATATGTTTGTATGTACTTGCACGTGAAGGCACGGCAGCATGATTCATCCAGCCAAAATGCGGAAACAACCCAAATGTGTATCTGCTGGATAAACAAAATGTGATGTGCAGATCCACAGAATGAGATCTCATTCTGCCAGAAAAAGGAATGAAGTATGGATACATGCTACCACATGGGTTTACTGTGAAAACATGTCAAGTGAAAGGAGCCAGCCTCAAAAGACCACATACTGTATGATTCAGAACAGGCAAATCTACAGAGACTGAAAGAAGTTGAGTGTTTGCCTAGGGCTGGTGGAGAGAGGACGTAACAGGCAATGAGGGGTGACTTCTAACAGATGTGGGCTTTCTTTTGGGGTGATGAAAGTGTTCTGGAATTAGAGAGCAGTGACAGTTGCACAACCTTGTGAGTATACTAAAAGCTACTGGACTGTACACTTTCAACAGATAGACTTTATGGTTATGTCAATGATAGCTCAAAGAATTAAGAATTCTTTAATTGATTTAACTAATTCCATTGAAATTATTTAATTAATTAAGACATTAATAGCCTTCATATGTAGAAACAATAACTAGCTAGAAGACGAAAGGGGAGCATAAATTCCATTGACAGCAACAGCAAAAATATTTGGAGAAAGTTTACAGAGAAATGTACAAAACACGTATAAGGAAGCTTAAACTCTCTTAAGAAGTGCAATGCTAGATTTTGATCACGCACTTTCCTAGCTTTCTCTAATACACATAGGTATATGTGCCTATAAATATATAAAGCCTCCATTTTGACTGGAAACAAAGCCTGAAAGATTACTTTTTTTTTTAAGCTGCAGAAAATGAAATGAAATCTCAAAACATTCCTGATAATCTGACTTTTTTACTGTTTTCTCATGAATCTGTTTTAATGAAAATATTATTCTCAACGTAATTGAGCTTAATAACTTCTAACGCTTCCTGAATTAGCAGAGACAACAATGTTATAAATAAATATAATTTATTTTTCTAATACCTTATTGCCATACTTTTGGTTTTCTTGAGAAAACCAATCAGAGTGGTTTTTTTTCAAGAAGAAGAAATTCTACTTGGGGATCTGAAGTTCTCTTTAAAATATTTGTTTAAAAAAACCATCCCTTGATAGAAACTGAGGTCACTCAACATGTGAATGTCTTGTTTTTTGCAGTCTCACTGTTAGAAACCAAGAAGATCAGAGACTCACAAGAGCTTCGCATGAACTCAGAACAGACTTTCCAGCCTGTGAAGAAAGGTGACATCTCACATTTTTTCGCTTGTTAAACTAACAGAAACACTAACCTTTTTCTCCTCTTTTCTTTGCATTATATGTCTCAACAGAACACACACTTTCTCTAACTGCAATTTAGAAACATCAAATCATAATGAGGTATCACATTTTCACCCTGGAGAATTCCTTTTAACTCATTGTGTGACAGGGAGAGAATCAGTTTCATTATTAATCTAATCCTTTGCTAATCAGAAATGCAAATTGATACTTCTGGACAAAATATATGCTATTTTATTTTTATATCATATACATTTGAAAATAAAAGACCATAACAAAACATACACATTTGGTATCTTTAAAATGTTCATTTTTGTCTTAACTGTAAATTTATACTAAATAAGTAATGTATTGTTTTTTAAATCTAGGAATTTTGAAAAGAAACATAAATTACATAATGCCAAATTGCAAAATTATCTTTTTCCCCCATATTATCAATTGATTTACTTTTCCTTAACTATTCTTATACCTATTCTTGATATTAGGCCTTTAAAATTTCAATCCGAAAGGCATTGTTCAAATAGATTTTTATATTAAATTGCTTCTTCCTCTTCTTTTTTTTTTTTTTTTTTTTTGAGTCAGGATCTCACTTTGTTGCCCAGGCTAGAGTGCAGTGGCACAATCACAGCTCACTGCAGCCTCGAACTCCTGGCTTCAAGGGATCCTCCTGCCTCAGCCTCCCAAGTAGCTGAGACTACAAGTGTGCACTACCATGCTTGGCTAATTAATTAATTAATTAAGTTATTTATTTATTTGGTAGAGATGAGGTCTCTCTATGTTGCCCAGGCTGGTCTTGAACTCCTGTGTTCAAGCAATCCTCCCACCTCAGTCTCCCAAAGTGCTGACATTGCAGGCATGAGCCACTGTGCCTAGCCAAAGTCCTTTATTTAGAGAGAGAAAAAAAAAACGAGTACTTCAAAAGTTTACTTAAATATTTTTTCATTGTTTATCTTATTTATCCTTGCCCCCAGATTTTTCAAAGTTAAAACCTTTCACAATATGAGGGGGAACCCTCCAAAACTGGAATTTATTTATGAAAAATTGTTCTTCTTACATGCTTAAGCTTTAGTCACCTTCAAAGAACTCTCTGTTTGGTGCAACACACCCATCAAGATGCTGTTTCCACTGCTCAGAAACGGTTTTTGAACTCATCAATTTTGATGACGTATAGTGCTTCTGCAGGTTGTTTCACTCTTCCACATGGGTGAAACGTTTCCTTTTGAGGACTTTTTCCATCTAGGGAAACAAAGCAAAGTTGCTCAGGGTGAGGTCAGGTGAATAGGGAGGTTGGGACACGAGGGTCGTACGGTTTGTGGTCAAAAACTGCTGAACACTCAGTGCAGTGTGGACAGGCATGCTTGTAAATCACCCAGCGTGAAATGGGCTTATGTTTTTAAACAATCTCCGTAAAAAAAAATTCACTGAAGCCCAATGCAGCCTCTCACAACAATATTCACTGACGCTGATAGGTTCCTAGAACACTTACCTCGTGAGGGAAGCCTGTACTACAAGGGACCCTCCCTCCAAAAGATAATCTGGGTTTTTGGGAGCCCCCTTTGTACATGAATTTGTTAAAACAGCAGATAGGTTGCAGATTTAAGTGCGTTGTGTTCTGTGCCAAGGCTTTGAGAGTTTTACACCTGGGACCAGAGTGTCTGCATCTAAACATTCCTATAAACTACACCCAGTGTGACCTTGGGCACTTTACTTAGTAGCTACATGCAGCCTCATTTGCCTTATGTCTAAAGTGGGGACAAGAACAGTTTGTTGGGGCTAAGTCAATGAAGGGTTGTTGTGAATATTGAATAGGACAAGTAAAGCACTTAGGACAGAGCCTGTCAAGAGACAAGCACTTAACACATGTGGATCTTTCTTCATTCTACTCGTATCCGATTAGTAATGTATATAATGACTGCATTTAAGGCCTTTTGATTCTAGTTCTACTTAGATATTAGTATTATACACACTTGGATTTGTCCCATATGTCATGCCTTTCTACTTGTTTTCAATTTTTGGTAAAAATAGCATTATGCTGGGCCTTACTTTTTTGGTCAGTTTGATTCTGTCTTTATATAGGGCATTAGAATCTAATTATATTGGTCCTTTATTTTGATTGTTACTGTTATGCTTAATCTTCCAGCAAATTTTTGGTTGTCTTCTTGTAACACTCCTAATTATCTCCTTAGTTCTTTATTTTCCTGTATGAACTGTGCTTTCATTGCTTTGAGGTTCTTCCGTAATACAGAATGTATACATAAGCTTTCTTTTTAAAAAAATCCTACTACTGTTTATATTTTTCAAAATTATTTTTAATATATATTACTTAAATTGATAGAAGTAAAAATACATCTTTTTTTTTTCTTTTTTTTTTTGAGTCAGAGTCTCACTCTGTCACCCAGCTTCTGCCTGCTGGGTTTAGGCGATCCTTCCACTTAAGCCTTCCAAGCAGCTGGAACAACACGCATGCGCCACCACACCCAGCTAATTTTTCTGATTTATTGTAGAGACAAGGTCTCGCCATGTTGCCCAGACTAGTCTCGAACCCATGAGCTCAGGCAATCTTCTTGCCTCCGCCTCCCAAAGTGCTGGGATTACAGACGTGAGCCACCGCACCCGGCTAAACAACATCTTCTGATTCCACATGTTAAGGAAACATAACCTAGGATACTTTTTCTCGTCTAATTAGCCTTTGTAAAAACAATCCAATATTCTTATGTAGACTACTTTAAATTATTTAAAAAGTATAAATCTTTCAAAAATAACTTTTCCAGCATTATGATAGTACTTTATTTTGATGTGTAATACTTTTTTTATGATGAAGAATTCATATACCTATGATAAAAATAAAAATCAAATACAAAAATTTTAGAATAAAGACTCATCTTCGAGGTAACCCTCTTTCAGGTCCTCTGTCGCTGTCGGAGCTTTTCTGTCCTCTTAATAAACTTGCTTACTCACCAAAAAAAAAAAAAAAACCGTAAAAAAAACTCCATCTTCCTCTTATCCAAGACCTCACCTCAGTCTCCAAAGAAAACTGCCATCAATGTTTTTTTGGTATATCCCCAAAGAATGGTCCTATGCATTTACACACAGTTCCACTGAAACAAAACACACTAAATCTAATTTTGAAACTAAATTATATTCTTTAGACAACTATGTTTAATCGTTTTATATAATGACCACTTTTTTATACCTGGCTTTTTCTGGCATTGCACTTTTCATTTATGTGTCACTGCTAGGTCTGTTGTAATTCATCTTCAAAACACGATTTCAAGAAAAGACTTGTAATTTGTATTTGAACTTTTGTATATGTAATTATGTTTTTCTATGACCTTCACATAATTAGGACAAGTTATCTGCACATCAAATTCTTGGATATACAAACTTTACCCTTCAAAACGAAATACAGCGCTTTCTCCTTATGATGGCAAAGTAGATCCTAGGGCCTTCCAAGTGCAGAACAGAGGATTTTGCATAAATCTAAAATGTTTTGCAAAAGCAAGGAAAATGATAAAGTATCTGAAAAACAAAACTGAGTAAAAAAGCAAGCTAAACCCTGAGCAGTGACTACCAATCACAGGAAAGAACAGTTTTTTCCTAAGGGCAAAAACTAAAAAACTGATAGCATCATTGCTAGAGTTCATAGGGCAGAGGGTTGAAACTAAGATTATCAGATTAAGGCTGGATCCCAGAAAGAATCTCAAGTGGTCTTGGGCAGGTAAGATCTCCTAGGTCTCACAAGAGGCAAATACCCATCCTTTCTGGAGGGAAGAGAACATGCCCAATTTTGATCCCAGACTTCCTATAGGTTAAGACTAATCAAATATGGGCTCCTGATCAAAGATTACCAAACTAAAAAGAAGCAACCCACTACAAATAAGAGTCAGTAGAAATAACATTTGGATTTAGAACTCAAAGAACTTAAGATGTTAGAATTATTTGGAATAAAATATGAAATAATTATCTATGAAATTTTTTAAGAAATGAGAGATGGAATCACAGAAATGAGAAAGAAGAATTCAACTATTAAACATGACCAGAAGGCCAGGCATGGTGATTCACACTTGTCATCCCAGCACTTTGGGAGGCTGAGGAGGGAGGATTGCTTGAGTCCAGGAGTTTGAGGCCAGCCTGGACAACATAGACTTTGTCTCTACCAAAAAATCAAAAAATTAGTCAGGCATGGTGGTACATGCCTGTGGTCCCAGCTACTCGGGAGGCTGAGGCAGGAGGATCACCTGAGCCCAGGCAGTCGAGGCTGCAGTGAACCATGATCACGCCACTGCACTCCAGCTTAGGTGGCAGAGTGAGACCCCGACTCAAAAAAAAAAGTGACCAGGAGAACTGTGATATTATACTATAGTTTTGCAAGATGTTTCCATTGGAGAAATGGAATAAACAGCACCTGGGACCCTTCTGAATTGTTTTTTCCCCTAATTTTCTTGAGTTTTAAAAATTGAGATAAAATTCATATAACACAAAATACACCATTTTAGCCATTTTAAAGTTTAGAATTCAGTGGATTTTAGTATTTCAGGATATATCCATCACCACAAAAAGAAACCCCGTATCTGTTAGCAGTCTCTATTATTTTACAATGACATGTGACTCCACCATTATCTTAAAATTTGAAGAAAGGTTAATGTAAGAAAAAGAGACACAATGGAGAAGATTAAGGCAAAAGCTGATTCTTTAAAAAAGACAGATAATGCAATCCTCTTCTGTGATTGGTCAAAAAATAAAGAGTAGTCACAATGAAATAATATTAGGAACAAAAACAGACATATGATAGATATCCAGCAGAGACTGATAATACTAAGAACAAGTTATGCCAATGAATTGGAGAATTCAGACATCCTGAGCAAATTCCTAAATAGGAGAAAATTACTAAAATAGAGTCAAGAGGAAATAAAAGTTCAGAATAGTCCTGTCACTATTAAACTATATCAGCCATTAATAGCCTTCTATATTAGTTTGCTAGGAGTACTGTACCAAAGTACCAAAACCTGGCTAGCTTAAAACAACCATTGCCTCCCAGTTCTTGAAGCCAGAAGTCCAAAATGAAGGTGTCAGCAGGGTCATGCTTTCTCTATACATTGACAGCTCTAGGGAAGAGGATCCTTCCTGCCTCTTCCAGTTTCTGTGGCCAGCAGTGGTTGGTGTTCCTTGGCTTGTAAATACACTGCCGTAGTCATAAGACTGTCTTCTCCCAGGGCGTCTCCATATCATCTTCCCTCGGTGTGTGTCCGTGTCTGTGTACAAATTTCCCCTTCTTACAAGGTTACCAGTCATAATGGATGTAGGTCTCACCCTAATGACCTCATCTTACCTTGCTTAAATCTGCAAAGACCTTCCCAGGATTTGATCAATCCAAGATTATACAACTCTTGTATAACTGCTCAAATATCTAAGAGCCCAAGGTAACAGTGATACCAAAATCTGATAAGGATAGAAGTCAGAAGTGTGTCCTACTTGGGCACTCTGGTCACATACAGCAACAGAAATGAATCTTAGAAACTTAAAGTTGGGTGAAAAAAGCAAGTTGCAGAATACAACATATAGTAAGCCATTTTTATAAAGTAAAAAAAAAAAAACCAAAATATATACTTCAGGGTCACATACGTAGAATTAAAAACTATGGAAAAAAAAAGAGGAAAAAGAGATATTAAGGACCACTGTTAATTGACTACATTTTCTGGGCTCAATACAGTTATAATCGAAGTTTGAAAAAACTCACAAAGAATAAGCCCCAAATCAAGTACAGCAGTTCCCTCGGGGATGGGGCCCAGCAGGGGAGGATAACAAGGAGAAGCAGAGTCAAAATAAATGCAACTTTGTGAGTGAGGCTCTGGTTCTTCAGGCAAACGGTGCCTTCAGAAGTGTTCATTTACACTGGACACTGACAAATGGGAGGATTGGAGAGGGTGAGAAATGAGAAATAACCTCCTGGGTACAACATACACTGTTGGGTGATGGTTATGCCCAGACTTCACCAACATCCAATGTATTCATGTAGCAAACCTGCACTTGTACCCTCTAAATCAATTGATTTTAACTGAAAAATTTTTTTAATTTTTAAAATGTGTTCATTTTGACACCCTTCATAACTTGCATTTATTCTTTTCTTTCTCAAATATTACATTGCTAAAAAAAAAATATGAAATAGACACTTGCCCCATCCTTGTTCCAGAAGTTTAGTGTTTGTCCAGTCTGACTTAATTCTGTCAGAGGCGATTAAGGAATGTTGGGTCAGATGATTACTTTTACAATCTAAAAACCATTGCAAGATGTGCCCAGTTGTAAGCAAGTATGGTCTTAGCAGTTTTTATAGCAAGTATTTTGGCTTGCAAGTATTCGGGCAGTAGCCATGTAATCCAGCTAAGAAAAATTTGAAAATGTCATACTCGTGTTTTTGCCAAAGCCTTAAGGAAATGAGAGCAGCTCTCCTCCTTCTTAAAAGGGCCTAAAGGCATGCATTTTTCATTCTTGAGGGAGGAAAGATCCATTTCTAATGATGAAATTCAAATCGACCACCAATAACAGCCTCCCTTTCCCCCCTCTTTTTTGGTCTCCATAGCCCAACTCCTACTCTGGAAGAAGTCCACGCCTGGGCTCAGTCATTTGACAAACTAATGATCACTCCAGCAGGAAGAAATGTTTTCCGCGAATTTCTCCGGACAGAATTCAGTGAAGAAAATATGCTTTTCTGGATGGCCTGTGAGGAACTGAAAAAAGAAGCTAATAAAAGCATCGTTGAAGAGAAAGCAAGGATAATATATGAAGACTACATTTCTATTCTTTCTCCTAAAGAGGTATGTGACTACCAAAAGGCTTTCTCCCAGGGGCCACTGGTGAAATTGACTCCAAAATACAGAGAACAGTTCCATCGACACTCACCGCATTCACATTCTTTTGATTATGGGTCCACAAATGGGCTCCAGAGATCTGCTGAAATCTGAAAGTTGTGCATTTTTCTGGAAAAAGTATTCATAACTTTCATCAGATTCTCTGGGAGGAGAAGTCTATTCATTTTACTGTGAATGTTTGCAAATATTATACCCTGTAGACATTCCTTAAAATAAAATTATCCTGTTATCTGGAGAAAAATCTTTTTTACAGATGTCTTTATGTTGTAGGGTAATAACATCACCGATAGGATACTGATGCTGCAAAATTTTCCCTCAGGGTGTCCTTTTCTTATATCAGAGAAATTATCAGATGAGTTTTGGGCAAGTTTCTGCCTCTCAGAGTTTTAGTTTCTTCAGATCTGAAGTTTAAGAGGTGGAGCTGTTCTCCCAATTAGGTTTCTCGTAGCTGTCATTGTCAAATCACTCATTGTTTCCTACTATGTGCAGATAAGAATGTAAAGTTGATAAAGCAGGACCTCTCCTGTCACCGAGCTCCCCAAAAGTGGGCAGACAGACAAGGATCCCTGGCGACATGGCCTGGTGCTCCCAGGGGCTTTGGGGTTGGACAGTCTCCTGTGGGGTGGGCGGGAACGAAAGGGTAATTTCCTGAGACAGCAGGATGAGAACATGCTGGCGGATGGAACCAGACAAGCCAAGGCGAAAAGCACAAAGGCGAATAGACAGTGACAGCGAGAATAGTTTGGTGTGCTGGAAGTGTAGGGTGCTTCCCGAACTATTAGAGCTGGTGGCAGACAGAAGGAAGAGATTTAGAAAGGCATCGAAGGGTTTGGGTGCCATGCTGAGGTGTTTTGATTTTTTTTATCCTGGGAAGCCCTTGAGGTTCAGCCTGGTAACATCATCCAGTTTGGATTTCTGAAAGACCAATATGACTACAGAATGGATTAGAAGACCTGAGGCAACAGGGCATGGTGGCTCACGCCTGTAATCCCAGCTCTTTGGGTGGCAGAGGCGAGAGGATTGCCTGAGCCCAGGGGTTTGAGACCCACCTGGGCAACGTGGCGAGACCTCTTCTCTACAATAAATCAAAAAATTAGCTAGGCATGGTGGCGCATGCCTGTCGTTCCAGCTACTTGGAAGGCTGAGGGGGAAGGATTCCCAGAGCCCAGCCGGTCGAGGCTGCGGTGGCCATGAGCGTGCCACTGCACTCCAGCCTGGGTGACAAAAAAAAAAAAAAAAAAAAAAGAAAGGCGACGACAAAGGCTTAGGGCATAGAGGGTTGGAGGACTAATTCAGGAATCCAAACCAGACATGGTGAGAGCCTAAGTTGGCCAACTGAAGAGACTAGAGAGAGGAAGAGTTTCAGCTGAGGTAACCCCAGAGTCTTAAAGTACTCCTACATATCTGGTTTAGGGAGACAGGTTGCAGGGGGGAGTAGTTGGCTTACTTAAGTTTGTGTTAAGCTAGAGATATTCCATTGATATGTTGGAATACCGAGTTCAGAAAGTTCTTTCCATTTTGAATTTATAAAAAGCAAGATAATTTTTGTCCTTTAGTTTATGACTTCTGTATATATTTATTTTGTCATGATTTCCCTTTAAAAAAAAATCAAGGTTTTTTTCATCAATGTATTTTAAAGCCAAAAAAACTTAACAAATTTATGATGCAAAAGTGATATAAAAATATGAGCCCTTTCCTCCCAAATATAAGCATTTATGCTTTGAGATTTAAAAGCTTAAAAGCTAATGTCACCTATGCTAGGTCATAGGATAGGTGGCATTAGCTTGGGGTAAATCCCAGCTCTCACTTACCAGCTGCATAACCACGGGTGTATTTCTTAAGACCTCTGCACCTGTCTCCTCCTGTGTACAAAGGAGACATCACGCCAGTAAATTTGGACAGAATACAGGGAAAGGCTATTCTAGACAGAGCGAACAAAGACAAAATAGTTCTAGCTTCTTCCTTCTTTGGCTTCCAAGAGTGAGATCGAGCTGGGGAGTGAAGAAAAGCCAGCTGTCAGTGGCCTCAGAAGCTTAAACTTAGAACAGAGAAACTTCGGACCTACCAGAAGCTACTGGTAAAAATGGCGTTCCACTTGATCTTAGAGTATCATGCATGTACATACATGCATGTGCATGTGGATTTCTACACAGCTAATGTAAAGCTTTGTGCTCTCAGAGCGTCAGTGAGCCAGAGCAAGCATGAAGCTGGAATGTCAGGACAGGGTCTGCACTTTAGAAAGAGCCCCTTGGCCGAACACTGGAGCAGGGTTTGGAGAAGCACTAGACAGGTACCTGGGGGCAGGTTAGAAGGCTGCTGCCCAAAGACAGCGAGAAATGGCAAGTGATATCTGCCGTGGTCATGGCAGAGAGGAGGGAAGAGGTGGATGGATTCAAGAGTGGTAAAGAGGTGGGATCCCCAGGACTTGGTGTCCAAATAGAGAGCCAGAGGGACAAGGAAGTAGGATCTGCAGGGCGGTGAACTGGGTGGGGACAGACAGTTCCATTTCTTCAGGTGCTGTATAAGGCGGAGGTCTAGAGATGCTGGGAGTCCATCTTGAATGTGCTGGTTTGAGGTACTACCTTGGGTAGAAAAGAAGGGTTTTCCACAAAGAAGGGGGATATGGGCATTTAGAAAGATAGATCACTAAAGTCAATATTTAAATTAATGATGTAGCTCATTGTATGTTCAGCTTTATACGAATGCCATATGCACTGCATGGCACTAGAATGATCGTGGCCAGCCAGTGCAGAGATGGCCCAGCTAAGGCTCTTTACACAGAAGAGGGGAGTGAGTTCATCTTTACAGCTTCAGCCTGGACTCTTGTTCGTCTGATGTCCTAGAAGAAAAGCTCTGAGCCCAGCAGCTTGCTCTGGTCCACAAGACAGTCTGGTCCAAGAAGAGTAAAACATCAGAGCAGTAATAGCTGACATCTCCTAGAGGGTTAGTGGATTCCAAGCACTTTAAGTAAATTCTCGTTAAATCACCAAAAGTCTAGAAACTATCGTCATCGCTTCCACTTTAGGGGATGAGTTCGTTAAGACACTGAGTTGACCCTGCCCATGGCCCTACGACCCAGCAGTGACAGAGCCAGGACTTAAACACAGCCATCGTCTGCCCTCAGGCCCCGGGATCTAAACTTTCCAGGGTGCCTGAGTCAACTTCTGTTTCACCCTGTGCCCAACCCTGCCAGTCTGCCTGCCACTCGTTCCCAGAAATCTTCCAGGGTTTAGCCCTCATGTGATTAGGAAACAAGCAAGGTGTAAGTCTGTGCACACTGTGTTTTTGCTTTAAAGGACACAGTATACTCACGTTATTTATTTTTTATTTATTTTTGAGTTGGAGTCTCACTCGCTCGCCCAGACTGGATTGCAGCGGCCACTCCCAGCCACCGCAGCCTCGACCTGCTGGGCTCTGGCGATCCTTCCGC